TTCAATATTTTTCTGGTACTCCCCAAGGGAGCCTCTATCACCCCTTAAAAAGAATGACGCCAATTTTGAATCACCCTGTATATGTTTTATTTAAAATTTAAATGCGTCGTTCCCATTGGAACACCCTTTATACATATATGTTGATTTGCAATATATGTCACTTCTTTTAACAGGTTTTTGGAGACAAGGCTTTATACACCCTTCCTACTGCTAGTTAGTCTACGATTTTCTTAAAACCAACATGATTTGGGTTATATGTCATATATTCACTTAATCTACCTTAAATTAACTTAAACCCAACTTAATCAAAACTTAACCTAAGACATCCTCTCTTGCTTCCTAGACTACCTTAATTCTATTCCATGGTCCTCGATGTCGTGCAGGAACTGGTCATCGCATGTGGTCCACGTCTTCTTAGATTGTGTCCACAGGGATAGGTCTGCGGTCACGGTTGTACCGTTTTGTGCAAGAAACCCAAACTGTGTATATTAATGTATGTAATAAGTACCAGATGTGGTCCAGCAGGTCTTCTGTAGGTCTCTTCGCAGGGTGGTATTTCTGACCAAGTATGGAGCCTTTGCTACTATCCTCAACACCTTGATCTGGTATACTGCCTTTTTCTGCTTATGCGAGGCGCTGGCCGGGACCATGCAGCAGTTCCATAGGTCAGGATAGGGCGTATTAACTATTTGTAAGCTCTAACCTTGGTTCGCAGAAAGAGCTTACTGTTCAGCTTGCTTGGCTAATAATATGCTTTTAGCATGTGCAACGATTATTTTACTGCCGTATTTAGGAGTTGGCTTTTCATTGTTGGAATTCTCACTCAGAAATATGTCACCTTTAGTTTGTATCTGTTTTTGTACTCGATTTCTGTGAGCTTTTATGGTCAAGACTTCTCGATCCTTGACCATCTGACCACTCCTGAGGATGCACCAATGGCTACCAGGCAAGCGGCGGTAGAGCAGTATAAAATAATTGACCAGTTCCAAATACTATAGTCTATAGTATTTGCCAGTACTATGAGCACTTCTGCCCTTTTCCAGGAATACAGGATACCTACAAATCAGCATATTTTCTTCTCTTTAGTAGTCTTATCCGATCCCCGCAAGTAAGCAGTTGTTTCGTAGAACGGCTCACTGGCAACTGGGTCAGCTCCTAATACATGTTAAGTTTTGGTTTGAGTATGATTTTAATAAATGCATTAATTTCGAAGCTTCTTCTGTTTGCTTTAACATACACTTTATTTTTGTTAATTCTCTAAATGATTTATACAACTTCTAAAAAGAGATGACGCCGCATTTGAAACACTGTACAATTGTTAAGAGTGCTCACAAATTGATGTGTTTTAGCCACTTATAAGTATTTACACTTCACAATTAATTCGACGTCAATGCTGTTCATTTATGTTTCCGATTTTCCAAATAATTCGATTAGAAATGATGAAATTGAATGGTAATTTAGAAAAATAAATTTTGCTTGCACCTGCCTTGCTCGGCTCTTAAATAAACTCATAAATAACCGACACGGTTCGACATAATGTCTATTTGCAACAGGGTCGCGGCTCATACTGTGGCAATTTGTTTGCCTTTTGCGGTGAGTGAATATCATATCATGAGGCCCGTCTACTCGTTATTGGCAAAGCCACATTGAATAGTAATTGTATGCTTTTCATATTTAGCTCATGTTATATTCTGTGGCCATTAGTTTGATTCTGTGACTATAAAGGACTGTAATGATAAATAAGTTAATTACGTAAAATTGAAAACGAAAACTATTCCGTCGATACTTTTCTTGAATGAGGTACAATTAAATACATTGTGCTTGCCTTATGCTGTTTATTTATTTGTAATTTTCATGCATAGCTAATTTTATGTTAGTCAACTGCGGTTCTGTTGCCCGGTTATCATTATTCAAGTATTGCTTCCACACTAACTTTTTCCGAATCAGGTTGAAAGAATCGGTTTGTTACGTTTACAGTACCTATTAGGTACTTTGAAAAAGCTTGAAATGATTTCTGCTAAATAGTTACGAATGCTTAGTATAAACATGTGATTTTCAAAGGTAGCAAAGTTAATGATAAACTGAGGATTCATTTTTGACTCAAATTATCAAAAATAATGTAACCGATTGTTCCAGCACAACTTTTTAAACTATTCCAGATTATTTCTTATAGAATATAACATTATAAAACTAGCTACAAACTTAGCCACTTCAAACAAGCCTTACTAATACCAATTATTTTGTCACGATTATTAGAAAAAGCCAGCAACTTAATTGCTTCGGTAATACGTTCAAAAAACGCATTCATACACTTCTTTGCATATTAAGAATTTTTTTATTATTTAAAAGTTTATTGTAGATATTCTACTAATGTCTTTAGAACTAATTATTTAGAAAATCGTGAATTTATCTTTACTGTAACTAAGCATTAATTCTTGCTTCCCAACTTTTAATTAGATTAAATACGTCGATAACGTCCTAACACCTAAAGTTCTCCCAATAGCTCTTAACATCCTTAAACACATTAACCATAATCATATTCTTAACACTCGTATTTGTACTACTTTATATGCAGAAATCTGTGTTCCCAACATTTTCAACTGATAATGTTTTTAGGTCATCGTTAAAGCATGAAATTAAATAGTTAATTGAATTTAGTAAAGTGATTAATTAATATATTAATTTTTGTAAAAACCGATTAAATGCGTTAATTGATTACATGTTTTCATTTACTTGTTTAAGCCGATTTAGAAATATATTGACAATTTATTATTTTACATAGTCAATAAACAGGCTTCAAAATTGGCGTCATTACTTTTAAGGGGCTATAGGAGTTCAGTTAGAGAGTACGAGAAAAATATTTAAAATATTATTTTCAAATGTCTAGAAGATATTATCAGCTTGAGATCGAATTTCAACTTTGTTGATAAGCATTATTTGAAATGGTCCCATGTTTAATTACAATCTTTACCCGCAAAATTACGATATTTGATTCAAATTACGAAAGTTTTTCGATGTTGTTTTTCGATTTCGATTTACGATGTAATATTTATTTACAACCATATATGTAATGTTGTCATTACTAACGTCATTGAAGGTTGGGAAGTGTCATATTACCTACCTCTAACTCCCGCCCTCATTTCCCGCATTAACTTCCCAAAAAATCTAACGATTTCTCTGTTTTTTCTCAAATTTATGTAGCCATGAATGATCTTCACCCATGCCGGTTCCGTAATGAGAGATAATCTACTTGCATATGTTTTGGAATCTGGAATTTTAACTCAAATTCTTTCTCCCAAAAAGGCTTAGTCCGACATTTTCATTTTGATTAGTTCGTGCGTTCGACAAGCTCCAGATACACCTATGTTCTCTTTGGAAAAGACGTAAGATTTAACAGTGATCAGTTAAAAATCAATAAACGAAAATAAATCATACATGTTTTTAATCAATGTAAGTAGCTAGATAATTGCGTTTCTACACACGAATGTATTTGTTTAGTTCAAATATGAATGAACGCCAAACCATTTGTTCTGCTTTGGGGATTTGCTATTACATTAGGAATGTATGGTATTATTTAGGCGCTTAATAGATGGATTATTTTACCACGATACCACATAACTAAATATTTATTAACCATTTCAGAAGCACGAAACTTTGCACTAGACATTTTTTGAAAATCATTTTGTTATTGGTTGTGTGATCATTAATACATAAACCAATATATTTCGCCGGAAATAAAGGAACAGAGAAATGTATTGTAAACGATGAAGACGATCGAGAAATGCTCTCACAGGAGCTATTCAGGCTGACTATAATATCTCCAAGCTATTATATGTATTTTCCTGGAAGTATCGACCGGGTGCTCTGGAATTGCCACGAAAATTTCATTATTTGAAATTGGCATGTTGATCTTACAATACAGGGCCATTCAAAATTGGCGTTACTATTTTTAAGGGGTAACATTTAGAGAGTACCTACGAGAAAAATATTGAAAATTTTTTTAGAAATTTGTAGAAAATATTAACAGTTGAAAATACAATTTCAACTTCGTTAATAAGTATTCTTTCAAAATGGTCCCATGTTTGATTGTTAGCCTATTTGATTAGGGCTTCTGCTGGGGTAATGTGGTATTCCTCTTTAACTAATAGATAAATATTGGACGGCCAATAACGTCATGCAGTACTACAGTTTGCGCCATTTTGACACATACGCCTGCGCAAATCACTCTAAAAAAATAGGTACTGTAAATATAAGGTACTGTTCTGTAGTGTTTGTACCGCAATACTGCACGTTTTATGTTCTACTTTAAACTGGCAGTTGGCATTTCTGACGTCCGCTTGCAGGTTATTTCATTATAAACATAACCCAGTTTCACTTTGATCAAATTTCCATTTGACTAGTTTACATATGTAGACCCTACGTTCATCTACGTATTAAATCTTGTAATACTTATACAATTGGTTCAGAATGTCACATTTTTGCAGTGTCATTACATGCTCAATGCGTGCTGAACGAGATCCGGTTTGTTTTTTTTTTTCGATTTAGCGAGACAAATAGAAGAGAGGTATCATTTGAATGATTTTTCTAGTGAACGTCGAAATGCTTGTGTTAAGGCTTTAAAACGGGTGCCTCTAAGTGAAATCTATATGAGAAATGATCGTATTTGCTTAAAACATTTCATAATGGTAAGTATTTATACAAAAAAGTTATTTTTACTACTGTTTATGTTTGATTGAAGAAAAACCAGCTGCCTTGGAAGACAAAACTAATCCAGGTGTGATGCCCAACGAAAATTTAGGATACATTTCTAGTCTCCAACCAGGTCAATCTGCCTGCCTACCCCTATTTAAAAAGTTTTTAAAAAGAACTAAAATGAAGCCAGAGGTTGGTGGTTATAGGATCCTTAGCATTTCCAATATTTCTCTAATAGCATATCCGCATATTCGATATTTGTTTACATTTTGTTAAAGACGCTTTAATGTTGGGCACAATTTGACAATTGCTTGTTATTCTTGGCAAAAGCTTTCTAACTATATCTAGCTGATAAAGACAAAAGATAATTACCGCTTTGAAACGTTGCATCAAACAATTGAAGAAGAAAACTTTTTTCAACTGAAAATTTTTCTTAATTTGAAGCAAAGATCGTAATTAAACATGGGACCATTTCAAATAATGCTTATCAATAAACTGTTAATATCTTCTTTAAATTAT